CGATCTTTAAACCACAGCCCAGGATGTTCACAGGGAAATACTCTATCCCAGATTCCTCCCAGCCCAGAGAACAGGATACAATCTCTGTAAAAGGTTAAAGGTACAAAGTCACAATATATTCATATGCAACAAAGACCAAAAAAAATTCCATCATGGTGATATCAGTTGAAAAAAACAACTAATCATGCTGATGGTGTTTAGTCCTTTTTAGCCTAAATAGAAGAGAGAGAGAAGGGTCAAATCATCGGCATGCATTAAGCAGAGAAAACATCTAAAGAGATTGCAGAAACTACTAAAATTGGGTTAAAAACTGTCCAACGCATTATTAAAACCTGAAGGGATAGTGGGGACCCATCATCTTCAAGGAAGAAATGTGGCCGGAAAAAAATCCTGAATGATCGTAATCGGCGATCACTTAAACGTGTGGTGAGATCAAATCGAAGAAAAACAACATGGAACTCAGGGCTACGTTTAATACTGAAAGTAAGAGCATTTCCACACGCACAATGCGAAGGGAACTCAAGGGATTGGGACTGAACAGCTATGTAGCCGTAAGAAAACCACTAACCAGTGAGGCTAACCGGAAAAAAAGGCTTCAATTTGCTAGGGAGCATAAAGATTGGACTGTCGAGCAATGGAAGAAGGTCATGTGGTCTGATGAGTCCAGATTTAGCCTGTTCCAGAGTGATGGGCCAATCAGGGTAAGAAGAGAGGCAGGTGAAGTGATGCACCCACCATGCCTAGTGCCTACTGTACAAGCCTGTGGGGGCGGTGTTATGATCTGGGGTTGCTGCAGTTGGTCAGGTCTAGGTTCAGCAACAGTATATGCTCAAAGAATGAGGTCAACTGACTACCTGAATATACTGAGTGACCAGGTTATTCCATCAACTGACTTTTTCTTCCCTGATGGCACAGGCTTATTCCAAGATGACAATGCCAGGATTCATCGGGCTCAAATTGTGAAAGACAGGGAGCATGACACATCGTTTTCACACATGGATTGGCCACCACAGAGTCCAGACCTCAACCCCATTGAGAATCTTTGGGATGTGCTAGAGAGGGCTTTGTGCAACGGTCAGACTCTACCATCATCAATGCAAGATCTTGGTGAAAAATTAATGCAACACTAGATGGAAATAAATCTTTTGGCATCCTAGAAGCTTATCGAAACAATGCCACAGCGAATGCCATAATCAAAGCTAAAGGCGGTCCAACAAAGTATTAGAGTGAGTGACCTTTTTTTTTGGTGGTGACTTTTTTTTTTGGCCAGGCAGTGTATAATAACCTAACAGCGAATGGCCTTGATGAACTGAAGTTTTTTTTTTCCTCCAAATGTTCGTGTGTGAGAAAGTTCTTTATGTAGGGGTAGGATAGTTCCAAGGGAGGGTGTGTGTATCGGGAGTTATTGTATGAATGTTTGTACTGAGCTTGCCCCAATCAGAGCTCTATCTCTCCGTCTGAGGATGTTAAATACATTTAAACATTCTCTAGCAAGAGTCTCACCTTCCAAACTTCACAACTTCGACTGTAGAGACTCAGAATAGCATTGCTATCACTAGTATCAGTAGTAATAAGGATGTTTAATCACACATACATCAACTTAGCAGCTATATCTGCTTCAGTGAACAACAGCACTGCGATGATCTGGCGACCTGTCCGGGGTGTACCCCGCCTCTCGCCCATTGACAGCTAGAGATAGGCACCAGCACCCCTCGCGACCCGGCTTGGGAGTAAGCATGTTAGAAAATGGATGGAAGGATGAACAAAAGCATTCAAACTGAATTCTGATCCCTGTTCCAGTTTTACTCCTCTTTGAATCAAATGTTTTCTTGCTTGCTAACTCGATTAGCCTCAGTTAGTTACTTCCTTGTTTACCTCCTGCACACACGCGCAGCATCGTACCTCCGTTGTTAATGTAGATATACATGAGGGGCTTTATTTTCTTACAAACTGAGCAAAAACAAGGCCTGAAAGACAAAAAGAAAAATTTGCAAGAAGGGCATAGTAATATTTCAGAAAAACTTTCTATGAAACCATAGTGAACTACTGGTGGTAAATCCCTTGTGGGTCCATCAGTTGTTCAGTAACAGAGTCTTGTTGTTCCAGACAGTAAACTGGATCCTACCTTCTCTGGATGTATGATGCAGGTCAGGCTTAAAGGTGATGCCCACAGGAAGAACGACGACCCGTCAGTTCAAAGTATTTTACTCTACCTTATAAACTGAGATAACCAGCATTTTTTTTTCCTCATAAAAAGTTCTGCATTTAAATGTTACTTCTTCAAGTCAAACCAGAATAGCTTCTTGCACTATGAGTCGTATGAACTAAACTGACTCCTGCTTGCTGGTGAATTTTAATTGGGATCAAATATTTCAGTTGTTCCTGCCATTCACCAGGTTTAATTATGATTGATTAGAGTGAAACCAGACTTTAAGAATATAAATAAATCCTTCTGGACAGGACGATCCGGCACAGAGGTTTCATTGAAAAAAAGTTCTGGATATTTTCTAGTAAGAACAGAAGAAAAATGTTCAGACCTCATAAAAACTGATTTCTATGTCCTTTAAAGACAAGAATGCCAGGATGAGACATATTTTTCTTATGGGTTTGGTTAGAAAGCTGCGCTCAGCAGACAACTCCTGACCCAACAACAGGCCACAAAACCACCATGAAACCTAGCCTAACCTCTAAAGGGAGCTCAGGGAGGGCATGAATTCCCAAACTCCCAGACACACACAAGGCATAAAAAAAGAGAAAAACTGAGGAGAAGGAGGAGGGGGAAACAAATTAAATCCAGTTAAATTGTTTTTCCATAGCCAGTGGGCTTGGCACAGGCCTCTCACATAGACATGCAGGAGATGTAAGATAAAGTTGTAGAAACCCAGAAACAGTGCAGCCTAAGATGCAAGGAACCCTGGACTTAAACCACCTTTCTTTGCTTTTTATTGACCAAAACCTTCAACTAAAATGACTTCTCTCCACACTCTCTGATTGATCGTATCCCTCTGAGATGTTTGCCAAATTGATAGTCCTGCTCCCCTGCATGGCAATTGAATCAAAGTGTGGTCACTGCAGAAGAAAAGCTGCAATTTGGGCCTAATTTGAAGCTGTGCTCAGGCAAACATATCTGGGTCATTTCCTTCTCTCAGACCAGGCTGCTCTTCACCTCGGCATGGAGACACCTCAGCTGAGCACCACACGGCCAAAAATAGCTTCCTGCAGTTAAAAAGAGCAGAGCTAATGTTAGGTCAGGACAGAGCAGCCAGGTGGGGATGCTCTGCAGAAATAAGGACACACTTTCCTGCTTTTGTATCACATAACACAAGTATTCCCATTACTTCACTTGTGCGTTTTGTGGGACATTTTATCTGTCAGCCCAGCTTTCATTTTTTGGCCAATGTTTCTATATGACTATCTAGAGCCTGAGATCTAAAGCATTACAGCATAAACTCAGTCAGGTTAGAACTAGATCAGGGGTGCCCAACCAGTCGATCGCAATCTACCAGTCGATCGCGGGCTGAGTTTCAGTCGATCGCGAGAAGTTTTACAATGTAGACCTATTTATGGCTATGACAAAAAAAAAAGTTTTAAAAAACTAATCAAATCATTGATCACGAGAGGCCAACGTCTATTTTCATAATAATAAAATGAAAAGTAAAAAGTATGCAGAGAACCTTTTGTGTGTTAAACTGTTAGCTTTTACTCAAACAGCAGTTCCGTTCAGGTTTTTAACTACACGGCTTTTTGCATTTTGAACAGCTTTCTTCTGGCCCTACTTTAACAAAGGCATTATTTACAAATTACATTAGTCTCCTATTGTTATACCATAAGGAACAACATTGTCTTCCATGATGACTAACATGTTGGAGCTGCTATTTAACATTGGTCTTTAACATTGGTCTTTCCTGAAATGCTCAATATTGCTAAATTATAACCTTCTTGAAAATGATAGGTCTTTTTTGAACAGCAGTAATAAAGACATGCTTGAGAATAGGCATGTCTCATTGTATTACATTTGACCTACATCCTGTCGATCACAAATGCAGAAAATATCAGACCTCTTGCTACAACAGTTCGAGAGCTGTGGGGCTTTGAACTTTTAGTGTCACTAGCGTCTCCAAACCTGTCTGAATGTTCCTTTATTATGATTTCCCTTGTGTCCGCTCGTTGTTAGCTCCATTGACCCAATAAACCGAAAAGCTAAAAAGGTCCCGATTTTAATTAGTCCTTTATGAACAATTACAGAAGTTTCAGAATCAATGATATAAAATTGTATTGATTTTATTGATTACTTTAATACAATGTTATTTTACTAAATGTTTAATTTACCTCTTGGATTTATATTGTGAATTGATTTGAACATTACATCTGCTCTATATTTGTGTTAAACCTGATTTCACCTAATTTTAAACTCTTCAAGATACGGGTTTTTAACCATTTTAAAGTTCCTTTCCTTCTTTGTGAACATAGTAGCTTATTAGCCGAGTCTCATTAGTTTAGCATAAGGTTTGTAACTAAAATGTTTGACTTGGAAATAATTGATTAACTTAAGTTACAACAGTATTTAACTGCATAACTCCGTCATCAGCTACAGTCCTCAAGATCCATGCATCTCTGCAGCTCCTCCAGAGTTACCATTGGCCTTTTGGTTGCCTCTCTGCCATTTCCTGTGGACCTCCAAATCTCAGGAGATCCTACGCCTTTATATGTTCAGGTGATGGATGGAGGCAGAGCTTTGGGAGGTATTCAATGCTTAGGATACCCTGCTTTAACCTCTACATCTCTCTACCTGACATGTTTCCTGTCTTCATTAGTCTTTTTGATGCCGTTTGTTCACTAATGTTCTCTAAGAAACCTTGGAGTCTAGAAACAGAACAGCTGTGTTTAAAGTGAGATTAAACTAAACACAGATGGACTATGTTTACTTACCAGGTGACTTCTAACAGCAATTCTAAATACGGGATGTTTTTAAGGGAAATCAAGGGAAAGAGGGCTGTGAACACAATATATTTAATGTTCTTTATTTGTGAACAGAATGTGGAAAAGCATCAAACCAGCTTCACAATAAGGCATTGTTTTGTGCTGCTCTGCCATCAACTAAAGTTCTTTGGTAGTTAGACCATAAAATGTTGAAAGGCTGCAAAGCATTTTGCTTCCAAAGGGAAAAACAAAATCAATAAAGAAACCTAAACACAAAACGCTTTGAATGTTTATCCAATAATAAAATCTACCTTCAGCTCAACCAGAAGACAACAGGACAGCATTAGGATGGGAAGGCTGCATCAAATGCCGTGTTTTATTGATTCTACATCCTTTCTTCTCTGTAATATAGAGTGAATTTTGTTCCGATATTGTTGCATGCAAAGAATACTTTGTAAATTAAAATGTGAAAAAAAAAATCCAGGAATGAGACCTAGTAAAATGTTTTAAAAGAAAAAGAGAGTGCTGTTTTTTCAGATTCTTTGTTTCTGAATTTATCTTTCATATTTCATTTTTTATTACATACATATATTTATGTTTTTTGCAAATTTCATATATATGTGTTTTGCAGATCACATCTGCCACTTCAAGCCCAATTCAAAGTCTCACTAGCGATGCACACATTGACAAAGAAAAAGCTGTTGCTAACTCTCCATCCAGTCCAATAGAAATGTATCTTTGCTTTGCTTGCAACAATAACGGAATAAAATTCACTCCATATTTAAGGAGGCAACAAGGAAAAAGCAAAGAATTTTTCTTTTTTTTAGGTGCTACTAACTGATTTCCAAAAGAAGAGCCTAAAGTCTCTCCGGATGCCTCCTTTACACAAACGGCCAAATATCTCACGGTAAAATTCATTTGATCAAAACTTAAAATGATCTGCTCACACATTTTCACATGAACAATAATTAAGAAACAGCTTCTGCTCTTCTGTTCGGTTAGGCTTTGCCTCCATTTTTCAGCTAATTAGCTCCCGAGGTGACGGCTGCATGTTGCTGGGCTCATTTAGTTACTTAGTCTGCAAAAAAAAAAAAACAAGATGTGTCCATGCATGCAGAAAGAAAACCAGGACATGGCCATCAGGATGAGGAGGCTGTTATTTAAAGCATCTATTAGCGTCTCTATTGGTTACAGAGACATTCCAGTTTGATCCCAGAACAAACAATCTGGTGACAACGTTAAACAGGCCTTTGGAAGAACAAAGGTACCAGTGAGGAGGTGGTGGTCAGGTATAGTCAGTGTTGTGTCAGACAAGAGGATCCGGATATTAAACAGAGAGAAGAGAATCCAACAGAGACAGCTTGAGGAGGACAAACAGAAACAAGGACACTGGGGACAAAAAGGCTACTGGGCCTCATTCAGTCTGTCCTGTTTGATCGGAGCGTCTGCTAATAGCAGGAAGGAACCATGTTGGATGTTGGAGATCTCTGAACAGAGGCATGTCGGTCCATGAATGGGTCTAAGAGTTCTTCCTGAGTTCACTCGGTTCACAATCCGGTCCAGACTTTGTTCTCAATCTGGATCAGAAGAGAAGAGAACAGAACATAAAGATCATTACAGTCGTTATTTGAAATGATTCAGTTACTAATCTGGAGAAAGTCTAAGAAGATTTACATTGAAAAATTAACCAAACTCAAAACAATAAATGCACTCTGGATTAGAAAGTGTATAAACGAGAACCGCCAGGTTAAGAAACCAAAAACTTCGATGTCCGCGAAAATAAGAAGGCCGGAAGAGTTTGGCTTTGGATTCAAACAGTGCCAAGCTTTCACCGCCACTCCCTAAGGCTGTTTCTCAATATGTGTACTTGTGCGTTCTCATGTGCTCTTGTACTTGTGAAACGTCATCAGCCAGTGGAGAGTTTTTCCTCTCCACTGTCGCTACAAGCATGCTTAGTGTGAGGGATCAGCTGGTTTTCCTTAGATAGAAAACTTTAAATCAATTTATATGTATGATCTGGTGAACTGTTAAGTGCCTTGAGATGACGTGTTGTGAATTGGCGCTATAGAAGTAAACTGAATTGAATTGAATTCATGCTCAGTGGTTTTCTACCCTTCTTTGCAGGGTTGGCTTCATTTTGCCTTCAGTCCATTCAGTATTTCCTTTGCTTTCCTTAGATAGAAAACTTTAAATCAATCTGACTATGATCTGGTTGTATTGTGTCTCTAAAGTGCCTAGAGGTGATGTGTTGGGAATTGGCGCTATATAAATAAACTGAATTGAATTCTTAAGAAAAGGTAGAAAAAGTCCCACAAAGCATCGCAGCATAAACATGGCAATTTCCATGTGACGATATTTAAGCAGTTGACAGTATATTAACTGTATAAATGTCTCTCAAACAAAGTCTATTGTTGAATCTAATGGTAAATCCCTTTAACACCCTTAATGTACCCACGTAGCGACAGTTAGCTTAGATGGATAAATAAAATGATTTGAAAAAAATTCAATGATAGAAAAAAAAAACAATACAAAGAAAGTTTAGCAGAAATAGGGTGTTTAGCAGACACCCTATTTCTCCCTGCTTTTAGTTTCCATTCAACATGTCCGTTTAGGTTTTATTAACTCAGTTCTAGATGCTCCCCCTTACGAAAAAGTGTTTTAGGTGAGGTTAGAAACGATTTACCTTTTAACCACTCTTATTTATTTCCATAAATCTTTTCTAAACGACAAGCAAATAAACGTTGAACTTAAACCCTTACTTAAATCCATCAGACAGTGATACCCATACAGCATGTGCAGCTTTACGTCTTTCTGCGTGCAGCAAGGTGTGAGACTAAATGTTCCAGCATCAGAGATCCACAGCAGAGCCTCACTGAGACATCAGTGACACTCAGGGGTTTAATATGATGGAAAAGGAGGGGTTGATGTGAGGACAGGGTTGGGGGGGGGGGGGTGGGGGGGGGGGCTCCAGGTGGACAGTCAGTAGCTACTAGGGGTGTAAATCACATCCATCATGGCGATTCGATTCAGTATAGATTTTTCTGACCCAACGATTCGATTATTTTCGATACTCAAGAATACACCACGATTCGATTCGATTCGATTAATCGATTAATTTTTTTTAATTATTATTATTATTTTTTTTACACCTTACAGGCTAAACAAAGTTTCAAGTTTGAAATAAATCAATGAAAGCTGTAATATCATTATGCATTTTCTTTAGAAACAACAGCAAATAACAGAAGTAGAAAAGTTGCATCAAAAAATACTGCAAGAATACTGCACAATATCAGTGTAATGAGTTCAATGCAATACCTCGGCTCCAGAGAAACTGTCCAACATATTTTTTTAGAATGTAATAAATATACTCAGGAAAGAGAGATGTTGCGTAGAGAGTTAGACAGGAATAAAAATAAACTACATATAAGGAAATTGTTTCAAAGGTCATCTGGGGATGTAGTTTTTGGTAGTATTTTTAATTTTCTAGAAAGAACGGGTATTTTAGGGAGAATATAATAGTTTGTCTGGTCCATACTCCATTCTGGAAGGTGGCGGTAATGCACCTATAAGTTGTTTGCCAACCGCAATTAAAAAGAAGAAGAAGAAGGCTCCAGAGTGTTGCGTCACCGCCCCCTTGAGAGACGCTCCGCTGCACCTCTCCCAGATTGTAGCTGATTGCAAACAGTGCACCAGACAGGAGGCCGGCTTGTTTTGTTTTTATGACCGAAATTGCGGAAAACAACTCGTGAAGTTTGACCCGCTAGATGAGCGAGGTGCGCGAGAACGCTGGGACCCTTTTTCCAGCTGAATCTCCGCTCTTTTTGCCCCATTGTCCCTTCGTCGTCGGACTAAACTCGCCCCCATTTCCTCTCCGCCTCGGCCGTATCTAGACCCACAGCGTGTAGCCCAGACCACGCTTCAATACTGAGCATAATTTAAAAATGTCTGTGTGAAGCTTGCTGCAACAAACTGCTGTAAGAGTATAACCAGGAAGCGCGGTAGGAGGGCAAAATAAGTTTAGCGGCACCGCAGCACGGGAGGGAGAATTACGCCCAGGAGCAAATGGATAAAAATAGACCGGAGGAAGAAAAAAAACATGAATCGATTATCTTGCGGACGTGTCGATGCATCGGATCGTCGGCTTTTGGATCGATGCATCGATACAAAACGATTATTATTTACACCCCTAGTAGCTACTGATGTAAACAGAAAGGAGGGCTGGGGTGAATGATGATCCCAGCTGGAAGCTAGAGGGGAGAAGATAAAGGAGGACTGCTAAGTATGACTCACTGAGAGGAAAAACCCTCACTGCTCATGTTTAAGTCATGCAAAGCAAACCTCAGGATAACCAGCTTCCTTTGTTTAACTCGTCTCTTCCCTGCATGTCCGCCTCTTCCACAGCAGGCCCACAGATCAGCATCCAAATCATCCACTTATTAAACATCTTCCCCTCCACGTAAGAAGCTGAGGCTTCCACATGTCAGAACGGATCGTTACTCAACATCTGCCGGTAAATGAAAGATCTGAGCAGCCTGAAACCCGAGCAGATTGTCCATCTCAAACGACCCGCTTCCCGGTGGCAAACAAATCCTATTTGCTAACTGGATGAACTGGAACGCGGCCTCGGCCTGGCGCTCAGCGAAACCAGCAAACAAACAAACAGATCCGTCTCTCGTGGCGGTTGCTAAGTTTCCCTGAAATGTCAACAACTGAAGAATCAGAGGACAGAGGCAGCAAGAGGAGATGTGGGAAGCGGGCGACTGTTAAGGCTGCAGAGCAATTAGCTGACGTAACAAATGGAAGGGAACTATTAAAGTTATATTTAAGAGAGTAATGGAACTAGGGCTGCTTCACTTATTCTTAAAGGTAATAATCCAGAGTCTATGTTTGTTTCTGTGGGTTTGACCTAATTTTAAGTAAATAAAAGCAGACTAAGGTTGAAACGATTAATCCAGATGAAGAGTTTTTCTTAAGTAATCAGTAAGTAAGTAATGGACTAATGGTACCCAGACTCTAAAACATACTTTTTGGAGTCATAAGGATGAAACACAACAAACATAAACAAAAAATATATACCAGTTTTCTATTAATCTCTTTAGGTTTGAGGTTTTGAGAATAACTCAGAATGCATGAAAATTCCACAGGTAAAACTTTTACCACTATAGACATGTTAGACATCATTGGAAAGCTTAGATTCTCCACAATTCAACCACTTAGTTCATTTTATGGACCCAGCGAGCACCAGAGCACAATTAACACAGATATAGTGATGTCAGTATTTTTCGCCCCCTCTCCCAATATCAACATATCTTTTGCAGCCTTTTTTGTTGGCCTGCGGTGTTATTATTGGGAACGGCAGCGTTTCTCGCTCCTACGCTCAACCTAAAGTCGTAGGGAAATGGCCGTTTTAACCGTTGCATTTCAATATTCTTCCGAGTGGTGCACGTCCATCCCCTTGAACACTGGGACATAACTCAATGGGAAAGGAAATACAGTAATTGTTATTTCGACCGTTACGTATATTAGCTGCGACATATGAATCAAGATGCGATGACCGAAAAAACGTGATTGACAGATGACCGTTGATATATGATTGGCCGGATTTAGGTGTTTAGGCTGACGTATAACTAACTGGCCTGCAGAAGATAATGGAAAAAAAAAGATTTTAAGACAGGCTTTTTTTTTTTTTTTTAGAGAAATTTTCTAAATTTTGGGACAATAAAGAATACATTTATATACAGCGCTCGATGTTAACCATTGCCCGATCGCCTTGGGCAAGTAGTTTTTATTGTCGGGAGAGTACAAATTTCATTGCATTTTCCCGCCGGGCAAGTGCAAAAAAAAATTATTTATCACTCAAAATTACTTTAAAATCACCAACATTAGCTGAAAACGTTTCTTAATTGGGCTGAGCCTTGTTGACCTTCGACATTGATGGCTCCACAGCTGCATGGATTGTGGGGTTGCCCTGCAGGCAGAGGATGGCAATGACCTTCGTCCTACCTGTCTTGGATGCGAGCACCTTTTGGAGGCGCTGTTTGAGAACTCCTGCCCCTCTCTAGGAGGAAGCGGGCCAAACTTGACCAGGGAATGTCCACAAGGGTGGAGCATTTGTTGGCGGAATTGACCGTGATAAAGACCTTGTTGCAGACACCTTAGTCTAATGCCTTGTTCAAGTGGCTGGGTTCTCTTCCCCACCCATTCCAGAACTGGTTGTAGAGGATGACATCATATCTCTGGCTGCTTCTGCTTCTCATTTTAGAAATGAGGCGGAGTCAGGGTCCTTTCAAGCCTCTGACACTGGTTCATTTTCGTCTTAGAGTGCTGCTGGAGAGGCTGGTGACAGTTCCATGTGGGAGGTCATTGTCTATGGTCCTGAAGGAGCTGCAGCTGGAACTCCCACAAGGTGAGGTATCTGACTCCAGGAAAGCTTTTTTCAGGTGCAGAACGAGCTCCTACTCCCTTTTCTGTACCTCCATCAGAGGGGTTTCCGAAGGAGCTGCACGCCTGTTGGCAGAACATGAGAGCATTGTCATGTCTCTCCTCAGATGGTCGGGTGTTAGCTGCCATGCACGAGTCGGTGAAGGCCGGCCTGGACTGTTTACCAACCCACTGTTACCAGCCCTTCAGGGTTGTCCCAGTTGTGCAGCGGGATCTGTCTGGATCAGCTGCCCTGGAGACGCTGGAGAGGACTGTTTAGGCGCGTCAGACTAGCCAGCAGCTTTCTGGCCTTTGCGGGAGCATACCTCCCTTTGCTCAGCGTTCCAGGCTCCCTGCTGAATCCCATAGTTTATTACCAGCTGGTGAATGGTCAGCATTCAATAAACCATTTATTATGTATTTTTTACATTACTATGTTTTTTTTTAATTTAGCAATTTAACATTTGGTTCTCACACCCAACAGCAGAGGCGATGTTGAACACAACAACAGTGTTGGCTCAATGTGTTCATTTGGTGTTTTTTTATTATGCAGTGGTAAAGCAAACAATTAATGAAAAGTTCATATAAAGTTTAGGTCCAGTTTTAAACTGACTGAACAGCAGACCAAAGATCTCCTAAGATCGTTCAATAACCTCTGATATCCATAATGATTGACTTTCCTATCCGTACCATTCATCCTCACCCTGCTCCATCACGGCTCCCTGTCTGAGGACACGTCATCCTCCGCCCCGCTGCTGGCGCTGGGATCCGCTCTGGGTCGCAGAGATCCTTTCTCCCTTCCCGACTCTGAGGGTCCTTTAGAACACGTCTTCTCCTTTCTTAGCTGCTGCTTCTCCAACTTTGAAAACTGAAACAGGAGAAACAGTTCATAAGTTCACATTTTATCCACTTCCATCTTTAAAACATTTAGAACTCACTTTACCTCTACAGCCATTTAACAAAACACAGCTGTAAATAAATCTGTGTCATCCTTTGAATGGAGCAGTATAAAAGTGGCTCTTTTCTTTTCCTTTGAATAATTTAAAGTGTTTGCTCTGAAAGGGAAGAAGATATTAAGGTTTGATGGCAGTTTTACAGCCGGCAACATGGAAACAACTCTCTGCCTCGGAAGTAAAAGCACTTCCTGTCCTCGTTAGGTGATAAAGGCTTCATGATTTCAAACTTACACCCCAGGATTGTGATACAAAAACAGAAAGATCAGGAAGAAACACAACAAGAAACATGACAATGGAGGGAGATTGCCACAGATTGTATGCACCAGACAGCTGAGGATTTTAAATAAACAATCACACTTTTATTTTTAATCTTTAAAGGGATAGTTCGGGATTTTTGACATGAATCTGTATGGCATCCCCATCACCAGTGTCATGCAATCACACTGACTTACCCCTGGCAGCATCCTGTGAGCAGAGTTCTCGTCCAGCTTTGGTCAAGCCGAAAGTAGTCCGGCAGGTTTGCTAGACCCAGCGAAATAAAACGTTTCTCTTCCCAAAACATTATGTGTTCAAAAGAGCGATATTTTTGCATCCCAAAAACATTGTAGTGGAAAAAGTCACACGTCGTTATCACTTGGTCCTATTTTCTCTCTGTTCGTATCAGTGCGCGCGACACCATGACCTGACAGCTAGGGCCTACTAACCTGACAACAGCCAGATGCATGTCCCGCTCCGCCTAGCTCCTAGCTAGGATGGAAGGATGGATGGATGGACAGATGTGTGGGTGGATGGATGGATGGATGGACAGATGTGTGGATGGAAGGATGGACGGATGTGTGGATGGATGGATGGAAGGATGGATGGATGGACAGATGTGTGGGTGGATGGATGGACAGATGTGTGGATTGAAGGATGGACGGATGTGTGGATGGATGGATGGAAGGGTGGATGGATGGACAGATGTGTGGGTGGATGGATGGACAGATGTGTGGATTGAAGGATGGACGGATGTGTGGATGGATGGATGGAAGGGTGGATGGATGGACAGATGTGTGGGTGGATGGATGGACAGATGTGTGGATGGATGGATGGAAGGATGAATGGATGGACAGATGTGTGGATGGATGGATGGATGGACAGATGTGTGGATGGATGGATGGATGGACAGATGTGTGGATGGATGGATGGACAGATGTGTGGATGGATGGATGGACAGATGTGTGGATGGATGGACAGATGTGTGGATGGATGGAAGGATGGATGGATGGCTGAATGGACGGACGGACGGACAGGCCAAACTTTAACACAAAAGGTTATAAAGAATATAAAGCAGGAAACGAGGATGGATGGATGGATGGATGGATGGATGGATGGATGGATGGATGGATGGATGGATGGGTGGGTGGATGGATGGATGGAAGGATGGATGGATGGACAGATGTGTGGGTGGATGGATGGATGGACAGATGTGTGGATGGAAGGATGGACGGATGTGTGGATGGATGGATGGAAGGATGGATGGATGGACAGATGTGTGGGTGGATGGATGGACAGATGTGTGGATTGAAGGATGGACGGATGTGTGGATGGATGGATGGAAGGGTGGATGGATGGACAGATGTGTGGGTGGATAGATGGACAGATGTGTGGATGGATGGATGGAAGGATGAATGGATGGACAGATGTGTGGATGGATGGATGGATGGACAGATGTGTGGATGGATGGATGGATGGACAGATGTGTGGATGGATGGATGGACAGATGTGTGGATGGACAGATGTGTGGATGGATGGATGGACAGATGTGTGGATGGATGGATGGATGGACAGATGTGTGGATGGATGGATGGATGGACAGATGTGTGGATGGACAGATGTGTGGATGGATGGATGGATGGACAGATGTGTGGATGGATGGATGGATGGACAGATGTGTGGATGGACAGATGTGTGGATGGATGGATGGACAGATGTGTGGATGGATGGATGGATGGCTGAATGGACGGACGGATGTGTGGATGGATGGATGGAAGGATGGATGGATGGAAGTATGGATGATGGATGGATGGACAGATGTGTGGATGGATGGATGGATGGATGGATGGTGGATGGCAGATGTGTGGATGGATGGATGGATGGATGGTGGATGGCAGATGTGTGGATGGATGGATGGACGGATGGACGGAAGTATGGATGATGGATGGATGAGTGGGTAGATTAAAGCTTTATGAACAGATAACAAGAGCAGAATGCACATCTTAATTTATCCCAAAGGCATATGACAAATGTCCGCCCCAATCCCTATATAGTGCACTTTACAGCGGTTAGGCTTTATTAAAGGTTCGCCTGAACGTCTAGTGGATGAAAAAGTAGTGGACTTGATATTTCCCACAATGCACCTTGAAAAGTAGTGATCATCCGTGGTCACTAGATGAGCAGATATATCCCAGATTGCTGTGCAAGAGCAAAGATGGTGCATGCAGGTAGGCGGAGTTACGTGACCAACGGGGAGCAAAAAGCATTGATCATCTGTCCGATCGGTCAGTTAACTGAGTTAACTATAAAGTCCACTATATAGTCCCCTCTCTATATAGTGACTGAGGGATTTAGGGGTCAAGGCGGATGTTGAGACGTTCTATCCTTTTTTCTACACCACCCTAACTAAACGTTCTATCACAGATTTAGCTACCTCCATTGAACAACACAAAATATTTTGTCATAACTTGATGGGTCAAAAAGTTAATGTTGCAACATGATCCATAAGTTTATGATGTCATCTTTAATAATTCATTCGGTTCATCCAGGGGTCTGTAATCTGTGGCTGTTTGGATCCCCCACAGCGGTTCCTAAACACTTCAATATCAAAAATTCACAGCTATATTTCACACATTTCTATTTACAGGCCAAAGAAAAACTGTAGATTAACTGATGCAAGTTTTAAAGCAAACAACAACACTAACTCCAGTTTTAAATCGATATTTTCCTCTTTGTCTTCATCAATTCAGGAACATGGTGACAGAGAGCTGATGTAGTCGTCTCCAGACATCTGAGCTCACGGATTCTGAAACTTTAATGGCTCTCTGAGACTTAAAGTCATCACCCAAACCCAAAGCATTGCGTAACAAATTACATTATTCAAAGAGCACAAAAACTTTAAAGTAGGAAAGCGGGTCTGCTGTCTCTGATGATGATGTAACTTTCTGATTAGATCACAGAGGTAAACATATTTGTTGTTTTTTTTTTAAAGTTACAGACGTTAAACTCTGAATCCCAGGCAGATCTTTCTCAAAGCTTTCGCTAACACGACGAAACATTACATAACCCCTGAGAGACGAACCAACAGAGAAGCTGCTGCAGCTTCCAGCAGCCTCCCAAACACAAAACACAAACAGGATGGTTTTCATCGCCTCCATTGTTTACTGTCAGCTCGACCCCGAGCGGGACTCCATGCCTGATTCATGGAAAGAAAGGAACAGTGTCTGTTTGGCTGCAGCTTTAACATCTCCCCCTCCCAAAGCAAACTCCGTGCCAAGCTGGGCCTCTTGGCCGGCCTTTTTATCCCTCATGTTTGGCCTCTGCTGGAAAACATCCCAAACAGACAGGATTAGAATTCTGCCGATTGCCTAAATATCCAATCCTTTCAGGGAAACAACCCGAGCCCAGAGGGGAGACAAAGCCGTTCCGAAGCGAAGCAGCGGAATTGTTCCGCACAACCGTCTGAAGGTTTTCCTTCAGTTAGCAGGCAGAGCTGGAGACCTTTATTTTAAATCTGGTGGCTTCTTTTTCAGCTTCTCTAAGGAAACTTATAGAGATGCAAGAATGAAGGATTTCCTGTTTGATACACATTTCTGCTTTTCTTTGAAGTTAAATCTGCTTATGCCAGATTTAAAAGATATTTTTTTTTATTTTAAGACCATGAAAAAGCAAAGCTAAGCTCCAAGGCTCCTGGACAGAAGTGGCTGATTGGAATCCAAAAAGGAAAAAAAAGCAACAAAGAAAAAAGCACAATCCTCAGCTCTCATTATGGAAACAAAATAAACCTAGGATTCATTTTCAATAAATGTTTTATTAAAATAAAATTGATTCCATCCGATTAATTGATAAAGTCAGCTGAAAACAATTTATTTCAGTGCTGTAATGTTACTGCCATACACTAGAGGGTGCCACTATTCATTGTTAAATAGAAGCTCAGTGGTATTTGCTAAAGCAGAAACATACGGTTCTATTTGTAAATAAAAATAATCCATGCACTTCATTTTTCACCAAGGCTACATCTCTGGTCTTTGTGGAATTTTATAGAAACAGCCCTGTGTGCAAATAATTCTGGCAGCTACAAAAGATATTAAACATCCAGATCATTCTTCAATCTTAGAAGCATAAAGTGAAACCAGTTTATATCCCTGTGGAGAGAAAACAAACAGAGCTGCCTTTCAGCAGCAACATCTGAATATATTTGAACTCATTCTGATGTGGCAGTGGGCTCAGAGGAGGAGCAGGTATCCTGTTTTATGAAGCGTTCTTGGGATTAAAACATTATCAGCTCCCAAGAGGAGAAATGCAGCAGAAAGCTCCCTGAAGACAGCATTCATGGGTCTGTGCCATCAATCATCTGCAGCCCACACCAGCTCCTTGTCACGCATGCAGCACAGACAGCCCTGTGACTGATAAGGTAAAACTGAAGGACAGCGTTAGTTTCCTTCTCTGTAAATCTAAAGACAAACCTATTCATACAATAAGCTTCATGCATATTTATTTATATTTAAAGCACATCTAACATCTAATAACATTAGTGAAAGTATTATAATTATTGAAAGTGCTGCAAACCATGAACATTTCCATTTTTTTCTTCTACATCTGCAGCCATGTTTCCATGCAATGCTAATGATGCTAATGGAAAATCTGAACAAACTCTTTCTCAGTGAGAAGCAGCCAGTCAGACCTCTGGGTTTGAGAGCGCCTCTAGACCCGCCTACTGAGTCTGATGCAGGATCTTAACTAGCAATGCGTACTGCCTGATAAAGTACGGCCTTTACAAAAAAAAAAGACAAATTGTACGCCCTGTTTTTCCCCTAGAAACTTTGCACAAATGTTTAAAATTTCAAAAGCAGCAGCTGCTGGAGTTGGGAAAATTGAAGTTTTGCTGCAAATACAGCTAAGCTGACCTTTATGTGGACAAGCAAAAACAATGAATTAGCAGAAGCTTTTTTGCTGCACAAAAACCTATGAAATGAATTTGGTTTCATTATTGTTCAAAGCAAATTTTATATTATATTATTATATTATCAATGCTTTTTAATGCTCTTAGAAATAATTTTAATGCTATCAACAAGTACATATATATAAGGGTACTTGTTGATGCATAAAAATTATACCTTATATATATATATATATATATATATATATATATATATATATATATATATATATGTATATATATATATATATACACACACACACATATACATATATATATATACACATATACATATATACACATATACGTATATATATATACATATGTAAATACATATATACATATATGTATACAGAAATACACATATATATATATATATGTGCATACATATGTATATATATGCATCCATGTCCCGAGTTCCTCATTTTCCAGCCTACTTGTTGAAATATGCATTTTCCCCATTCTGTAGCTTTTTCTCCAACGCCACTGGGGCGACAGTGGCGTTGGATGTAGGAGTTTGCCCTGAAATCGAGGGGTTGACGGTTCAAGCCCCAACTCTGACTTTCAGTGTCGTTGTGTCCTTGGGCAAGACACTTCACCTGCATTGTCTACTGATGGTGGTCAGAGGGCCCGGTGGCGCCGTTTCTGTCAGTGAGCCCCAGGGCAGCTGTGGCTACAATGTAGCTTGCCACCATCAGTGTGTGAGTGTGTGCGTGAATGGGTGAATAAATGTAGTGTAAAGCGCTTTGGTCAAGTCTCCTAAATTGTACATGCCATTTACCATTCTCCGCCTCGAGCTTCTTTTCTGATCGACGGCTTTACGAGTTCTGCGCAAATATATCGCGATATAATATATCTGACGACATTTTTTTTATAATCAGATTTTTTTTTTATAAATCCTTTTAAATGACACGATAATCACATTTAATGAATTTTATTGCCAATTAAGGGCTTCATGTAGAAAACTGAATGATTTTTAACGACCCGCGGAAACCCTGTCTATACCATGAAACGATTCAAATTAGCGAAATTAAGTTTAGGTCATTCTTCACTGCTATCCATCATTAGCTGATGCAGAACCAAGTGTTTGAATGTTACCTGTTTGGGGTCTGTGGGACGAGCCGGGGATGTCAGCTCAATGGTGACTGGACCATCGTTCTGAATGTGGACCTGCATGTAGGCCCCAAACTTCCCATCTAGAAAAAAAACAAAATGGAAAATCATGAACTAGATGCTTTTTCCTGTAAATGTTTTCAGTTAGTCTCCAAATGAGCGGTTTGTTTTTGTTTTTTTGTGTGGGATAAACAATAAAGAGCAGGACAGGGAGAGGAAGTTTCAGCTCAACTGTTCTTCTTTCTCAGGTTTCTGTAGATTGATGACACCATCTGCACAATGAAGCTGGGGCCATGCTGGAGAACTGATGCATCATAATTTTTCCTCCCAGAGCTGGTGGTGAGGGGGGGGGCACTAATTAGAAAGGCTTACGCCTCCCATGCTGGGACGAGGTGTCCTCCTCACCTGCTCCCTAGTGGGCTGACCCAGTTCACCGCCAGCTCATCACTGCGTCTGTAATCCACCTCTCTGCCTGCCGAGACGGCAAATAAACAGCAGGAAAGGAGCTTCTCTGAATAAAAGAGAAATATTCCTACTTCTGATGTCAATTAGTGAGGAAATAAGAATCTGATTCCACTTTATCAATCAGGATGGGGTCAGATTATTATCTTAATCAGAATCTTCCCAGGTGGAAAAATAAATATTCTCTGATATGTCAATAAATGCAGGATGAAGCTTTATTTTACACATTATTTACACTGAAAAGTGTTCATTAAGAGAATCATGGTAAGAAGAAACCCCCAGTTCCACTTCAGGAGTTTAATAAATCAGGACCTGATTAAAATAAAACTTTTTTCTTTCTCTAAATGATTTAAATCTAAACTTGATTGCGCAGAAACAGGAAGTACACTGGAAAAAACAAACTAGGAATAAGTAAAAATTAGATAGTTTGCCAATGGGATGAGTATATTTACTCTTATAATAAGATAATTAGATAATATGTACTTGAAATGAGACAATGCATTTGTTTACTTATTTTTAGTGTAAATTGTTTTGTTCCACTTGGCAAAATGTCTCTTTTAACTCCTCAATCCAAGAACCAATGCACTTATTTTAAAGGAAAATGACTTATCTAGATTTTGATTTTTTTTTCCAGTGTAGCAGGTTGCTTTGGATCTATTTAATGATTAACGGATCATTCCAAGTGTGAGCGCCGCTGGAGAGGCTAAGGCCAACATGGCGCCAACGAGGAGAGGCATCAACAATGAGCGAAGAGGAGGAGTCTGAATCCGGAAGGCTCTGAGAAAAACTAAACTCTCCAGAGCTCAAGGACACAAAGAGGGTGAGACAATTACAGCTGACTGCATCCAGATGGAGTAGATGACACCCTTCAGATTAAACAGAGGGTCGGAACTAGGATGAGGGTTTGGGTTTCAGGTGGAACCTTGAAGCAGATGGTCGTGAGCATCAGCAGAGAACAACTCGGACAGACTCACCCACACCAAATAAAACTAGATCAGAGAAAATGTTGCTTTTCCAAGGAGCCACGATTTCAGCCACAAGAACACCGGCTCCATCCTGCCACCTTGGAACAGTTCTGACCTCCTTCTGGTGGTGGTGTTGTCATGGTGAGGTGGCCCTTTCTAAGTGAGGACCACAGCAGCTCATCTCATTAAACGACGGAGCTGTGTTTTCTATATAAAAAAGATTCAAACAATGAAATACCTTCCTTCCTCCATATAACTTCTCCATCCTTTCCTCCCAGCTGCTACAGATCAGTTGCCTTAGCAACCTTAAAGGGGTATAGTCTCACCTGTATTACTTTTTAAATCAATCAACTGGTAGCTCATTCCAGTTGCAACGTTTTTCTAAAGGATGACCTGGTCTTGGTGGTGTATCATTTATTTTTGTTTTTTAAACTCTATTTTTGCTAAATTTCTTACTTAATAAAGCACTTTGTTTACAGTTACCATAACAACGCCAAGTCACCGGAGATAAGGAACTGCACCTGTGTGCGACGGGTAAACAAGGAAGTACCCATTTCACACGATAAAATAAGTCGTAAAATTAAGTATGATTATATCGTATCTGATCAAAACTCAATGCTACAGTATAGTTGTTTTTTGGGAAATGAAAAAGTTGCATCAGACATCCCTAATTAGAACTTGCTGTATCTCTGCTTCTGTCTCCTTGAACCCCAGTCGGCCTCTGCAGATGGCCGCTCACACTGAGCCTGGTTCTGCTGGAGGTTTCTTCCTGTTAAAAGGGAGTTTTTCCTCTCCACTGTCGCTACAAGCATGCTTAATGTGAGGGATTGCCTTGTAGTCGATGCAATCAGCTGGTTTCTCTTAGATAGAAAACTTTGAATCAATCTGACTGGATGATCTGGAGAACTGTAAAGTGCTTTGAGATGACATGTGTTGTGAATTGGCACTATAGAAGTGAAATGAATTGAACTTACCCCCAGATTCCACATTCTCAGTCAGCACTCCTCCCCGCTCACATACGTCGTGCGGAGTACCTGTCTGCCCTGTTAATCAATGAGAGCTGTTCCAAATCCACCACTACTCCTCCACACGTAACCGTCCACGTACGTCTTCTCCGTCCGTCACCGTCAAAATACGAAGCAGAGCTATTTTTGCACCGGTCCGGTCAGCTCAAGATCCGCAATAGCAATCACATCAAACAGGAAAAAGAATGGCGAGGAGATCTGGTTGGTCAGATTAAAATATAGTGACGACAGATCGGTAACTACAGATTACAGCATAATTGTTATACATTACAAAAAACTAACAGCGTTTATTTAAAAGTTTGGATGCAAACTATTTGTTCTTCAACCTACCAGGAAGCAGATTTCTCATCTCCATCAGATGGATTACCGAGAGGCTTAAAAGTTTAATCAAATCATGTCAAAAAACACTTTTTATTGCAGGAACGGATGAAGAGATGTTGAGTTTAGAAATAAGAGTTCATAAAAAAGCTATTTTGTATCCACAACAAAAACAAAATTCTTGGGCAGAAACTGCAAATATGCTGGATGCTGATGTTTTTTTTTTTATATATTTCATATTTAATTAAGCGTTAATTTCTGCATGTTTTGCTCCTATGAATTTAAGAGCGGAGCAAGACGGGAGGAACGGCGGAGGCTGTAGGCTTTACTTTGCACAGGCGGTCTGGAACGCAGCGGGGCGGAGCGGAGACGGAGGATGTGGGATTTCAGGGTTAGAGCTGCTGTAGATCCGGTCGGTCTTTTACCGCGCCGAGCTGTGGCTTTACTGCTGGAGTAGATGCTGACTTATTTCTAACATGAGGAGGATCTAAAACATTAGTTTAATCACAACCATAAACAAAGCAACTCAAATCTTGTATTAGTTCAAGCATCAGCATCACCCTATAGAAGACACCACAGTGCGTTTCAGGGCAGTCAGCTCTATTTAGCTGCATCAATTCAGTGGTACTGCCAGCAGATGGCGCACGTCTCTAGATGTCTGTTCATTGCTCAACTTGTTGTATATTATCTTGTATTATCATGATCAGATGTTTTTATCTAGTATTAAACCAGTAGGTGAGTATTCCTTTAAGAGCGATCATTCAGAGCCTGGTCTCTGGATGAGAACCCCCCCCCCCACACACACACACACACACACACACCTTTAATGAGCTCAGGCTTGTAGGCGCTCCTCATGCTCTCCAGGATGCTGTTGTAGAAGGGCTGGGCGAGTTCTGCAGGCATGGCTGAGTGGAAGTCCGGCTTGTTACCCTTCAGGATGCACTGCAGGGTGAACTGGCTCACACACAGCACCTCCAGGTCCCTCTCCACCACGCTTTTAGCCCAAGCCCGGCCGTTCTCGTCCTCAAACAGCCGCAGGTTCAGGATCTTCCGGACCCTGAGAGCAAAGAGTGAAAAAGTGCTAAGGCAACATTGCAGCATCAAACCCCGCATTAGAAAGCAAAGTAAGCCGCCCTCACATGTACTCGGCATCTCTCTGAGTGTCGTCCACAGAAATCCCGAGCAGGACGCAGATTCCCCGTCCGATGGAGCTGACCTCTTCCTCTCCCACTGCGGGATGATAGACAAATGGACTCACCCAGGAGTTCAACAATTGGCGCCACAAACATTTGCCTCATGTCCCATTCTGTGTGGCGCTGGAGATGCTGTTCCAGAGGCTTCCTGTGTTTCTGCAGACAGCCTGATGCTTCAGATACTGCATGGAGCTAAGGCTAGTCATCTTAATTAGTGTCTGTTCTTCACATATTGAACTTTTTTAAATGCCTCTCCCCATTTAACATCATCTACTTTAATCCACATTGCTGGATGTGCAGGAAAGAACGTCTTTAGTTCCTTCTAACTACTTTAAATTTATCATGGGGTAAAGTGTTAAGCTTGGGGGAGGTTTCAGTCTCTATGTACTGTAAGGAAATACATTGCTGAGCATTAAAAGATGGAACATTTAAGCTAATACTAAGCTGACAGATAGGAGAGATTGAAAATGTTTTTAAGCTGCTAAATGCACAGCAGGAAGTCAGGCTGGTTCTTCCATATCTAAATTTGCAGAAGAATTAATGTTAAACATTCGCAGTCAAATTTAGTCCTTTGCTTCTGTTCATTAACACTCTGCCTTTATGCTTTTCAACTCTGTAGAGCAGGGGTCTTCAACGTTTTCTTATCTAAGGACCCCTAAACTGATGGTGAGATGGAGCAGAGACCCCCTAATTATATATTGTATGAAATTGTGTTCTATCAAACTGGTCCTAGAGTCTATTACAGATGGAGTAATGTAACGAAAGTAATTTCGCCCTGGGATTATTAAAGTATTTCTGATTCTGATTCCTGGTTGATGGGACAGGTGTTGTGAATGAAACGGTGCCCAGCTTGAAAGAGCTCCTGTGTGTCGCTGAATGTATGCATTGATGACTGAAAGACATCTTCTGCCTCCATTTATCTGTTTACTACAGTGTGTTGAATTCATATTAATGTGGATTTAAAGACATTTCAATTAGTGGTAAAAATTGCAGGGGGGGAATATAAAAAAAAAAGTCTAATAAACCAAAACTTTCGCGACCCACATGCAGTACCTTCGTGGACCCCCTAGGGGTCGCGGACCCCCTGTTGATGACCTCCATTCTAGATAATATCTAAATTCCTGACATGTAAGGCAAAAGAACACATAAATATGGCATAAAATAGTTACAAGATTCATTGTAAAAATGGCAGGATCTTCACTTTTTTTCCTTTTTTCCCCCTCTTTTTAAATTTAACAACTAGGAATTTGTTTAAATTTGAACTAGAATGCCAAAAAAACACCTTTTTTTCATAATTGTCTTAAAATAAATCCTCAGATTTAAAATTTAGTCAGAAAACTGTCTATTTCAGTTAATGGATTTTGTGATAAACTCTTCCATGTATTATTGGAAGATCATAAGAATCTTAGCTGAGGCCAAACGTCCAAATAAATCTCTAATGTTATTCAGTTCTATATGATCTATCATCTTGCTAATTATTAAAAATGACCTCCAAGCTATTCCTTTCCTTTAAAGTAATGAATGATTGTTTTTAATATAATTTTATTACATTATCATTATTACCATAGATTCTTATTTTTTTACTTTTTTTATATATTGCTCTTAGTGATGCATATTGATTATAACAAAATATTATTTAAAATTAACTATTATTAATAGTTTATATTTCCCATTATCTTTTTATTTTCTTGTTCTACTTTTTGGTTTTTTATATTTTATTTTAGTTTTAACCTCTCACAGTCACTTCCTTAAATTAATAAAATAAATATTTTGTTTGACATGGTAACAGATAATATAAATTTCCACCCTCATTACTAACTGGAGTTTGTAAATAAATATTTTGTTACATAAAAATAACCATAAATGATTTAGAACGAACTAAGTCAGAAACAGAAACAATAAATCTTATTTCTCTGGGGTTAGTTGGCCATCTCCCTCTCAGTCCTGATCAGTTTCTACCAGTTAGCTTCCAGCTACGTTCATTTCAATGGGAAGGCTAATGCTAACCGGCTAGCTAAGCTAACCGCTGTGTGCAGTTACCGGCTGCCTGTTTATTTCTCTGCTCAGTCAGTCACAGATTTCACATCTGTCAGCTCGGCTGACTCTAAACTCCAGCTCACCTGTCACCCTCGCCTTGGTCACCCTCTGGATAATCGCTCTCATTGTTGTGTTTTTGTTGGACAGCACGCGCTCAGCTTCCGACTGCTTCCAGTTGTCAGTGGTAGTTTGTCGACCTCTAGCGGTGGACTTCTGAACAACAACAACAATCCACACCTTGGTTTCTGGTAGCAATGAGGATACCAAAGCCATTAAAGGTCATGCTTTGAAAAAATCCAGTCATTTCACATTTTTCTTTTGAGTGTTTTAAAATGCAGACGACAGCAGCACAAATTTGTGGCTCTCAATCCAGCTCCTCAAGTAGCACTGCCCTGCATCTTTAGATGTTGCAGCATTACTTCTTCTAAGGTTTTATGGCGGTTGGCATACTAGTTAAAGTGCATTACCACCTCCAACTCATAAGGAGTTAAACATGGAAACAGGAAACAAGACTCACCCCAGAAAAAAATTTAAAAAAAAAATTCCTAACTGTATGTTTTAACACAACATAATGAAATACATAATCAAATGTATCCTCATAATTACTAGTTTGTCTTTATGCTTATGTCCCTCTGCCTGTTTCTGACTGTCTTTCTCGTTTTCCCATCATACTTTCAATCGTTTCTCAGTTTAAATCTTTCACTTTAAGAGACTTTTCTGCAGCTTTCACTGTTATTTTTTCGGTTTTCTTTGTCGTCTGTGCACTGCAATTGGTTACCTCTACCATAAAAAGTACAAAATCCTTCTTTTTAAGAATCAATAAGCCTTTTGCAATGTTGGGCTCTCCTCCAGAGGTTTTGCACTTGTCATTTGCACTACTGTTGGTTTTAGGTCTTTCTGACTGGGATGGGATTATTTTTGCAGCTTCAGCATAACTTATTCCGAGCTTGAATTTCACTTTTATTATCTCATTAGATCTGTTACTCACTTCATACTCGCAATATCCAGCTGTATGTTCTCCACCACAGTTACAGCATTTGATTTTAACTACTTTTCCACACTTTCCATATTCATGCATATTCAAATGGTTGAGAACCACAACCATAAACTGTAGTTTAACCAGGTTCCTACAGCCATTGCAAAATAACTTGAAGAAAACCAATCCATCTTTTTTAATTACCACACTTTTAATCTGAGTCATGTTTCAGTACAGCTGGCAGAGAAGCAACAACAGAGCATTATTCTACCATCACCATGCTTTAAAGTAGATTAATTTTCTTTATGCTCGATTATGTCAAACATATTTCTTTTCATTTCAGCCAAAAAAGTTCAGTTTCTATCCTGTCTCCTTGGTGGTTCTTGTAATTCCCAAAATCCTGATTCCATTTACCCTGAAAGGAACAGCTGGACTTAAATCACGACAACTTCAGACACATCTTGGTGTTACAGCAGGCCATCAACCCCAAGCACTCCTTGGCATAAGGTGACCAAAGAATAAACTTCCTAACTTTGCCTCTGATGGTTCATGCATGGAAGTATTAAAAGATTTAGACACTGATTTGGATTACATCAAAGAGTATTTGAAAAAAAAATAAAAAAAAAAATCCAAAACTAACAATGCCCTGATGGGATGTAAAACAGGTTTCCTGAATCAAATAATGCGTTGTTTGTCTATTGTATTCTATTTTCTTCTATATTTATAAAAGTCAATCTCCTTCAGATTAACAAGGTTTTCACTTTTTGTTCTTAAAAAAAAAAAAAGATACACTCGTTTTTCACGTTTCAAAAATTGATGACTGAATTCTTTTAGGTGTTTCACCTTCATGCTCTATGACTGAGGGTTACAATCAGATTTGGTCAAAGAGGCGATTTGATCCCAAATAAATAAAATAGGTAGTAATGCACAGATTTTACAAACTAATATATATTTTGACTGACTATAATTCTTAACTACCAGGTGAAATAAGCTCAGGTTTATGTTTAAGCAGACGCATATGAAACAGTTTGTTGTCGCTTCTAAAGGAAGTAGGATGAAAAAAGGCACCATAAGGTACAATGTTAAATTACTGATATTTAATCCTAGGCTGTAAATTTATAAATATTGAGGTTTTTTTTTCCATAATCAACATGTCTTAACATAAATACATTTGTTTAACCCTTCTAATCTCAGAGTTTATACAATACTCTTTAGAAACAAAGCAACATATCAGAAATCTTAAATAGAGATTTATTCAAATATTAATGTTTCTATGGAAACTGAGTCATTTTGTTTAGTGATTTCTTTTTGGCAGACAACAACAAAATGTCTGGCAGTCCTCTGGCTACCCAAACACAGCAGCAAAGTGTCAATATAGCGCCACATGTAGATTCTTTCATCACGACACATCATGTCCAGGTGCTATTGAGTGCCGTCTCCAGGTCCTCCAGTCAATGACTTGATGAAACTGTAGATTCTGGTGCTGTATGGGACAAAGTCCTCCTTGTTTTTGTAGATGATGACTGTTTTGGAGTGAGCGGTTTGATAGATCTGCTTGTTGGGTTCTTCTATGTCTTCAATTTCTTTACTCACTAAAATGGAAAAAGAAAGTTTAGTTATAGGTTTCTGATATCAGAGATATAAATACATACAATAATACATGAAGCAAAGTTTTTAGGTTTTAAAAGCATAAATTAAAGCCAAAGAACAGACAAATAAAGACGAATTAATGGTAAGAGTTTATTTTATTGATCCATCATCATTTGTGCTGACAGCTTTAACAGAATCACTGTAAAATGAAAATATTTTAAAATTAGATAAGTTCTTATTGAAGTTCCCAATCAGGCTAATTAATCATCAGGAAACTAGCTGCCAGCTAAGGTAGAAATCCACCAAAACAGGAGAAATCCTTAAATTATCATCATGTTACTGACGCAAAAAAATTTGACACTTTGAAAACGGAAATTTCCCTCACCTTCTGGATCAGTATAACGACCTGTGTGTCTAAAATAAGCGTAGGAGCCCAGCATGGTCCAGATGCCCACCGCGTAAAGCGCGGACACTCTGCTGTTCCACTTCATCAAGTCTTTGAAATTCATCATGAGGCTTTAAAAGAGTAAGAAGTCTTAAAATAAAACTGTTTGGAATTCTTCAGAGGAATCGTTCAGGGCGCGGCCATGACACTTCTTTCTCTTCTCCCAAGTTTGGCTTTTGCCATCATTTGAGTTGCATTAGCGCCACCCTCTGGTTTACAGAGGCCACTGCAACACTTTTATTTTATATCGACTACTGCCAGCTCTACCATACATACATAAATAAAGAAATAAATGCTCGGTAAATAAATAAGCATACAATGAATCCCCCCCAACGCAATAAATAAATAAATAAATGTAGGTAGAAATTAAATTATACTGTGGGAGATAAATGTATATATCTCTTTTATTTAGCTTCTTTATTTATTTGGCTTTGTAATAATTACCTTATTTATTTATTGTCCGTTATAATCTTCAACTTTATTTATTAATTACTTATTAAGTATCTATGTGCATGTTATAATATTTTTGTCTGTTTTATTCTTGCTTTGTATTTTTATTACTCTCTTTATTTCTTCCATGCTATTTCTGCCTGTTGTTTTTAAATTTCTTCATGCATTTCTGCCTCATTATGCAAATGAGGAGGGGCTGAGTCTTAGAGGGTCAACTTCTGTATTATTCCGAAAATTTTATTGTTTATAAACTTAGTTACCACCTTAAATGTAACCTTGGACTCTTTGATAAAAGTGTCAATACACAGACATCCCAAAATTAAATAATTACATTTTTGAACCTAAATACAACTTTTAATAAACATCAAATTAACACAGCAAATGATATTGATGAACTTAATCATGATAGCCCAAAAGCCGGTTTTAAAATGAAAAATATAAAAATAAACGTACAGATATTTTAAATATTTGTTAAATGTTTTCTTTTTAATGTAGCATTTTAATGGACATACAATTAATAATAATCTAGCAGCGATCTGTTTCCCCCCTCAGTCATTTTCACAGTTGTGGCATGTCTAAAAAATTCACCTCCAGCTGCGCCCATGACTGCAGCCACAATTCCCTGGATTCTGAGTAACTTTCCATCACTTTATGTGTTAGACACGCAACTAACTGTGTAGTTTCAAAGTAAACAGCAATGATTCAATGTAACTAAGTTGTAATCAATTAATACAACAGTCAGGAAAGTATGACAAAAATACATGATATGAACATTTTTACTTTCACTCCTCGAAAAATAAATTTTTTCCAGTGAATTTTGAGGATGATCTTGGATGTTTCTTCTCTCTTCAACTTAAGGTGGTGCTGATGTTTTTTTGCACACCCTGGCCTAGGCCAGGCATAGAAACAATAAAAAAACACCAACAAAAAAATGAAAGATTAATCCCAGATTAATTGTTATAGTTATATGTAACTATTTTATTAGGTACTTTTATTAGAGAAGTTTGAATAAAACCTAAAACTTGTGGAACTGTTCCTCTTTTTTTTATTTTTTAGTAAGAGTGACAGAACTATTTAATTCTTTTAAGTAATTTAAAAAATATTATAATTTTACAAGTAAAAAGTATGAATTAAGCCATCTGGGTTTAGCAGGTTAAATCTTCTTCAAAAGGTCCTGAACCTGATGTAAAAACCCTTAAAAACGTTGCGGACCTCTGCACTGAACATGACACTAGATTTATTATACTTCGCCCTCTCCTAAAAGACTTCTAACATGTTATTAAAGTCCTTTATTTTTCATATAGTTTGTTGATTTTTTATTAATCATTTTCTCCGGATAGTTAAATTTATGGCTTTTTAAGAGTCTCTATTTTCCTGTTTTTTTCTCTCTCATGTATGAGGAGACTGTTAATATATTATTTATCAATTAGAAAATCAGAGAAAGATGATTCATCTTTCCAGCCTAGTGGCAGTTTCCACCCTCCCAGACTCTTTTATTAAATTCTAATGAAAGGTTTTTAGATCATTAATTTAGATTGCTTACATTGCATTGCTTAAATTTCAACAGATCACTTTGGAACTTATTAAAGACTTCAGAAAGAGTGACAGAACTATTTAATTCTTTTAAATAACTCAAAGTAAAAAGTATGAATAAAAACATCTTATTTAAATCTGATTTGTTCAATCTGCAGGCTTTCAAAATTTATTTATACATTTCCAGTTTTAGTCCTTAAGGTAGACACTCTTTCTACTTTTAAGGCTGACTTAAAACTTTCCTTTTTATAAAGCAACAATACTCTTTTTTGAATAGTTAGAAAAGCTCAGATTATCCTGATTTATCTCTTCAGCTATGCTGCTAAAGGCTTACACTGCCCGAGGACATAGGCGCCTTTATTCCTCATTGTTTTTATTTGATCCTTATTGTCTTATTCTGCAGTATTTATCAGTTTAACCTATAATTGTTCTCTCTGCTTATTCTCGTCATAGTAGCTGTATATGATATTTTGCTGTTTGCCTGTGACACAAACCTGGAGAGAAATATCCACTGGGCTGTTGCCATCAACACCCCTGAATATGGATGATTGATTTGGACCTTTTTTTTCAATTTTTAGCCCTGTTTCTCTCCCAGACATAGCTATGGGCTACATTATCCATTGTTGTTGCATTCACACTTGGTGTGAGGGATGCTACTCCAGCAGGAGAGAATCCTGTAAAATCAATGACTCGATCCAATCAGCTGGTTTTCCTTAGATAGAGCCATTTTACCAGTAGAAATGAACTAAAATTAATTGAAACAGAATCTTTAATTATTATAGTTGAGCATATTTGCAATAATAAAAGGAAATAATTTACTGAATTCCATAAATAAATGTTTTTAATATAGTTTGATTTATTCAATCAAAATAATTTTGGCCCATGTTTTCCATATTTACCTAAATTGTACAATTTCTCTTGATATGGAGAAAAGTAATGAATCAAAGTTTGAAAGATTTAATTTCCAAAAACAGCAGAAATTATATAAGAATATAATAATGCTGTGTGCGTGAATGGTTGTATGTCCTGTTTGTCTCTGTGTTGCCCTGCGATGGACTGGTGACCTGTCCAGGATGGACCCCGCCTCTCGCCTGTAGACAGCTGGAGACAGGAACCAGCACCCCTTGTGACCCTGCTTGGGATAAAGCGTGTCAGAAAATGGATGGATGGACGGATGGATGGATAATACGGTAATAAAACAATTTGAGTAAGACTAGAGATGCCCAAAAGGAACATTTGAAGAAGATCAACTCCCTTACTGATGCTTTCGTACAGGTGAGTCAGAACAGATAAAGCATTTGCTTTGAGGGCAAAAGGCTAAAGCTGCTTCTGATTTGTCATGTGGCTTCCCTGAAGCTCTCCACCTACATCTTAAACTGTTGTTGAAACTGTCTGTGTCAGACTTCTGTCTCAATTTCTCTCTTTGTTGCATCAGAAAGAAGAAACATATAAGTTAAATAGTTTCAAAAAATATATTTTCTTGATCAAATTTCCAACTTGACCCACCCTCCCTGCAATCATGTCTTTTATTAGTTAGTTGTAGCACTTTGAGATTTGAAGTCAAATGTAAAGTGCATTATAAATAAAATTCATTATTATTATTATAGTGTAGGTAATATGAACAGAATCGCACCAATGTGACAGTGCGTGTTTTCTCTATATTCACTTGACTCTAAATGGTACGGAAGAGGACTAGGGCCACTGAAAAGAATAAAAATTTAACAGATTTTTTTTTTTTTTTGTATTTGTGTAAAAATAATATGATCTTAGACTTCTGATATTAAAATCAGAATTCTGACTTATTTTCCTATATTCAACTCAAATAAAATATAAAATCTGTTGACTTTTTTTATTTCATTTTTTTCCCCAGTGATTTTTTTGAGTCATAATTCTGAGAAAAAAGGTAGATTTCTGAGATTAAATTCAGAATTCAGAATTTTTACCATATTAAACTCAAATAAAATATCAAATCTGTAAACTTTTTATTTATTTATTGTTTTTTCCTAGTGATTCTTTAAAAAAAAAAATCTGAATTCGGAGAATAAAGTCATTATTCTGAGAAAAAAGGTAGAATTCTGAGATTAAAGTCAGAATTCAGAATTTTTACCATATTAAACTCAAATAAAATATAAAATCTGTAAAATGTTTATTTATTTATTGTTTTTTCGTAATGATTCTTAAAAAAAAAAATCTGAATTCCAATAAAATAAAGTCATAATTCTGAGAAAAAAGGTAGAATTCTGAGATTAAATTCAGAATTTATCCCATATTAAACTCAGATAAATTAAAAAACAGTTAACTTTTTCATTTTTTTTCAGTGGCCCTAATCCTCTTCCATAAAATGGTACAACAGACTCATCAGATGAAAACACAGCGATCCGGTGCTGAATGAAGTGAATTATTTTTTTCTTAAAACTTATCAAGTCAGTAGATTTCTAACATGCCATTACTCTCCCTGAAACACTGCATCATGGAAGCTGCTGCTTTAAGACCAAATCAGAAAAGCAAACAACTATGTTTAAATGGTCCTCATCTAATTTTTTTTTATGGTTTTGGACCTTTAAAACAAAGGAGATTGTGCATGTGAGAAATGAGATGAAACTGGTGAAATAACAAAATGCAGATTGTCTTGAGTTTAACTTCTGAGCAGAATGAGTTGATAGAGTTGGTTGATGACAGAATTGTTTCTGTTTTTCAGTGCCGTTTCTCTCATAGACGTAGCTGTGGGCTCCGGTTTTACAGAAACTATATGTGTTTTCTTTCATCCCTTTTGGCAATGAAAGCTTTTCATTCTGAATTTTTTTTTTTTTAACTTTGGGGGTATTTGAACATGTGGAGGAGGATTTATAGCTGGAATATGAGTCAGACCTGCTGCTTCATATAGAACGTGTAATAAAAGATGTCCCAGAAGCTGAAGGACACCTGACAATGATTCATACAGCAGGTGAAGGATTTGCTCATAAATAATGACAACATCAGAAGTTTTAATATCATAAATTCACTTTTCGCATTTGGTTATAAAAACATTTTAATAGTTGTTTTATGCACCTAGCTTTAAAGAATGTGGGTCTGACTCCAAACGTGCCAGGACAAATTAAAATTGACTGATACCATTTAGCTGCTGGGTATTGAACCTAAAATGTCAAGATTCCTTTAAATGAATATTTCTTTAAATTTTCAGTGGGTG